GACAGTTGAATTCATCTGTTCACCGTCTCGTTCTACAACCACACAGTATCAGCAAAGGTCAGTGCAACAAAGATATTGCTACACTGGTGATTCTATTCAATCCCATTGTGACCATCGCCACATTTGTAAATGGATCATTGAGATCTAAATCAGTTTTTGATATGTTCAGGGTGACAAGGGTTAATGTTAACTGTTTGGAGTTGGGGGGCGAGCATTCGTTGGGCAAAACTCTTGATATAAACAAAATTTCATTTATACATCTTGATGACTTTGCATTGTCTGTTGAGACATTGAATGTGTCTGCATGTATTCTGATCACTGTCTATCTCTTTATTGTTGCTGTATGTGTTTATTATAATATAATAATATATTTTGATCACTGTGTTATGTCTGTGTTGTAACTACCATATATATATATATATATAATTTTTTTTTTTTTTTAATGATGATTTATTATCTGTTTTCAGTAGAAATGAAGGTGTGTTTCCAGGATTATCATCACACTGAGGACAGTTGAATTCATCTGTTCACCATCTCCTTCTACAACCACACAGTATCAGCAAAGGTCAGTGCAACAACGATATTGCTACAATTTAGTATTAAAAAAGCTCAAAGAACTTCAAAATTGATTTTAAAAAACTAAACAATAATTTTATGCCAATTTTGAAAGTTGTATTATTTTTAGAATAAAAAAACAGAAAAATTTGACATTTTGTTAAAACAAAGAAGTGTTCAGCTTATCCAGTATTTTAAAAATAATAAAAAATTATATAACACACACATGATCAGGCGTAAAATCTCTTTATATCTGTAATATTGTGCCATTATATCATGCATACTCAGTTTTAGATATACTCAAGGTGACAATAAAGGGTAAATGTGAACTGTTGAGATTTGGTTGGGGGTGGGAGGGAGTTGTACGCTTAGCAAAAATCTTGATATAGACAAAATTTTATAGATACATTCTGATGCCTGTGTATTGTCTGTTGTGACATTGAATTAGTCTGTATGTATTCTGATCATCTGAACTCAACTCAACCTCACATCATCAGCACAGGTCAGTGCAACAACGATATTGGTACACTGGTGATTCTCTTCAATCCCATTTTGAACATTGCCGCTATATGTTTTACCTGCAAAATTATCATTTTGGAAAAAGGTGAATTAGATCCCACTCAGTTTTATATATATTCAAGGTGACAAGGGTTAATGTAAACTGTTGGGGTTGGGGGGGGGGGGGGGATGCGCTTAGCAAATATATTTATACATACAAAATTTCATAAATGAATTCTCATGACTGTTCATTGTCTGTTTGTCGTTGAATGTGTCTATATGTATTCTTATCACTGTCTTTGTCTTTATTGTTGCTGTATGTGTTATTTATATAATATAATAATATATTTTGATCACTGTGTTATTTCTGTGTTATAACTACTGTATGTGTCTACATATATATATTTTTATTGATGATGCATTATCTGTTTTCAGTAGAGATGAAGGTGTGTTTCCTGGATTATCGTCACACTGAGGACATCTGAACTCATCTGTTCACCATCTAGTTCTTCAACCTCACAGTATCAGCAAAGGTCAGTGCAACAACGATATTGCCATACTGGTGATTCTTCTCAATCGTATTGCAACCATCGCCACTATATGTTGTACCAGAGAAATTCTCATTTTGGTCACTTAGATCCAAATCAGTTTTAGATATGTTGAAGGTGACAAGGGTTAATGTGAACTGTTGGGAATTGGGGGCTGGTGTGCGCTTAGCAAAGGTCCTTATATGGACAAAATTTCATGTGTACATTCTGATGCCTATGCATTGTCTGTTGTGACATTGAATGAGTCTGTATGTATTCTGATCAGCTGAACTCATCTCAACCTTACATCATCAGCACAGGTCAGTGCAACAACGATATTGCTACACTGGCGATTCTCTTCAATCCCATTGTGACCATTGCCACTATATGTTGTACCTGAGAAATTATTATTTTTGAAAAGGGTCACTTAGGGGCCGTTCATATGAACCTATTTTCTATTTGCGGTATCTTGTGATCACGGTCTGTGCCCTGAATACCCCGCGGCATAATTACTGGCAGCGCGACCCAGTTACTTCCAAAGCTGTAATTAATTCTCAATTTTTAGAAAATAGATTTTCCATGTGAATGAAGCCTTACAGTGCATTACCACAGATTTTAGATCGATCTAACCCCGTGGGGAGTCTCACTAGATTACTGTCAGATTAGCCGGCTTAAATGTCTGTCCTGACTACTAAAAGCTGTAAGGGGTAATTAACTTCTGTGCGCACTAGCGTGAACCCCCAATGAGTTAGGTCAATCCAGATGGATCGATCTAAATCATTGGGAATTCAGTATTAGATCCCACTCAGTTATATATATATATTTTTTCAAGGTGACAAGAGTTAATGTGAACTGTTCGAAGTTGGGGAGGTGAGGGTTTGCTTAGCATAATTATTTTTATGGACAAAATTTTTTCATATATACATTCTGATACCTGTGCATTGTCTGTTGTGACATTTAATGTGTCTGTACTGTTCTCATCACCGTCTATGTCTTTATTGTTGCTGTATGTGTTTATTATATAATATAATAATATATTTTAATCACTGTGATATTTCTGTGTTATAACTAGTGTATGTGTCTACATATTTATTTTTTATTACCTCCACCAAGGAAGTTATGTTTTTGGTTCTGTTAGTTTGCCTGTCTGTCTATCTGTCTTTCTGTCTGTCTGTCTGTTAGCAACGTTACAGAAAAAGTTATGGACCGATTTTGATGAAATTTTCTGGAACTGTCAGAAGTGGGCCAAGGAACAGATGATTACTTTTTGGTGGTGATCTGGATCATTAGTCAATCAATAATCAAAAATCAAAAAACTTTATCATTATAGAATTAAAATTTAGGGGTGAAAGGCATTGGGTGGAGACTTTGCTGCCTTGGCAGAGGTCTATGCTCTCGGTGTGCTTTTTTAGTTGATGATGTATTATCTGATTCAGTAGAGATGAAGGTGTGTTTCCTGGACTATCGTCACACTGAGGATAGCTGAACCCATCTCAACCTCACAGCATCATCAGCACAGGTCAGTGCAACAAGGATATTGCTACACAGGTGACCATTGTGACCATTGCCGCTATATGTTGTACCTGAAAAATTATCATTTTGGAAAAGGGTCACTTATATATCCCACTCAGTTTTATGTATGTTCAAGGTCACAAGGGTTAATGTAAAATTTTCGGCCTTTGGGGACAACGGTTTGATTAGCAAAAATCTTGATATAGATAAAATGTCTTTATTGTCTCTGTATGTGTCTATTATAATATATATATATATATATATATATATATATATATATATATATATATTTTATTGATGATTTATTATCTGTTTTCAGTAGAGATGAAGGTGCATATCCACGATTATCATCACACTGAGAACAGCTGAATTCAAATCAATAGAATGTTTGTAAAATTGTAATATAAATTTTCAAAACAACACCTGAGGGCAAATTAAATCAAATCAACCAGTGGCTAAACACCGACAGGCTTTGTCAATTTCACCAACTTGTTTATTTCAAACAGTGCACTTTTTGCACATGCGCAGTCGTTTGAATCCTGAGCTATTGTGTGAACAATTTATTTGAATAAATTATTGAAATCAATTTCTTCATTTTCCTTTGGTTTGTTACATATTTTCTATTTCAAGATATGATACTTTACTGCTTGGGGATGCTCTTCCCATTGCTGCATTTTACAATGTAGTGCTTTCTTTATCCACTTGGTGGCAGCACCTTACAGTGAAGCTGAAGTCTTCATTAAGTCTCAATGATGTCTTGGTGTGTTTCTTTCTCTGTGTGAATGTGTGTGTGTGTGAGAGAAAGAGAGAAGGGTTTGTGTGTGCGTGTGAGTTAGAGAGATGTCTGTGTTGTAACTACCGTATATGTCTACATATATATAAATATGTATTTTTTTATTGATGATTTATTAACTGTTTTCAGTAGAAATGAAGGCGTGTTTCCTGGATTATCATTACACTGAGGACAGTTGAATTCCTCTGTTCACCATCTCGTTCTACAACCACACAGTATCAGCAAAGGTCAGTGCAACAACGATATTGCTACAATATGGTGATTCTAATCAATCCCATTGTGACCATCGCCACTATATGTTGTAACTGAGAAATTATCATTTGTAAATGGGTCATTGAGATCCAAATCAGTTTTTGATATGTTCAAGGTTACAAGGGTTAAAGATGCATACTAAGCCAAATTTTGTGCCATAAATCCCGTCCAAATGCCACCACATAGTTCCATATAGCATATCTTAGGCTCTGTTCTCACAACTTTTAGATCGATCTATCACCGCGGGGAGTCTCACTAGATTACTGTCAGATAATCCCTCTTAAGTGTCCGTCCCCGCCTACTACAAGCTTTAAGGGGTAATTAACTTTCGTGTCCGTCCGGCTGACAGCTATTTAGCGTGAATCCCCAGGGAGTTAGGTCGATCCAATGTAGGTCGATCTAATCTATGAGAATGGGGTGTTAGAGATATAACGCTTAATATTTCCGGAAAATAGCATTTAAACAGCTTTTTTCTGCATTTTTCTCTATGCTATTAATAACTCTCGGCAGTTTCCGTAAAGGCTTATTTAAATAAGCGTGCGCAGCTATGTCCATAGATGGAGTTGATGCGCGCGCAACTAGTTCCATATTAGGTAAACGAAAATAAAGGCAAGCATGGCGGTGAGTACAATGTTTTTCTCCGTTGTTTTGTTCACGAATACGTTTAATGCGTAGACGTTTGATCGTTGTAAATCAGTAGTTTAGTAGCCAGCATTATTGTCTAAAGTCTGGTAGGTCTTCTCAGAAACATTCACACACAAGAGCTTGTGTTTCTGCAATTTATCGATAGAAATGTGTTTTGGGTTCTACAAGTAAATGGCTGCGAAGTTTACGGAAGAATACATGTAAGAATTAAATATCAAGAGATGTTATGTGAGCGTGGCGATATACGCATTTTGGGGGCTTGAGGGGTGTTTTTCTGTGAAAAACGAGTAGATTCTGCTCTGATATATATGTATATCCCTCGGGTAACGTACCATCGCACGCTAAGTACCACAATTACATGTAGTTGTAACATAGTACATTATATAATATCGTGCTGAAGTTGAAGCAGTGTTCTCTCACCATTTATTATGATTATTATTATTATTTTGGATTAAGGGCAAAATGCAGATTTATGTACAAAAGTACGTGTATTTTCTCATAACCGTACATTCTTTGTTAACCTACTATTTGAATCATTATTGGACTTTTTTTCAGGAAAGTGAAATTTTGCCAGGTTTTAGATCAAGTAGTACTAGTAGTAGTGCAGAGAGTACTGAGGAAGCTGTAAGACCAAGTACAGGTAGATGGCGAAGAGGTAGAAGCAGAGGTGGTAGAGAAAGGGGTGGAAGAGGTAGAAGAGGAAGAGGAGTTAGCAGGCTATCTAGTAGAAGCAGATCTTCACAGAGATCATCGAGGGACCAGGTGGCAGAAGTTGCTGCGGAAAATCTTTTGAAAAGACAAGAAACAATGAGGGTAAGAGAAGGTTATTCAATTTTGGTAATTTGTATTAGGTATATGTTCTGCTAAACTGTTTTTTAAAATTATTTATGTATTTATTTATTTGTAATTTGGCAAAAAGGCAGGGTAATCTGCAATGAAAACATCATCTGATTTGTCTCTGAATAACACACCTCTCTAAAATCCCTGCTATAGTTGAGAAGAACTCATTAATGACATAGATTGCAATCCAATACTATCCAAAAGTTTTGAGCACTAGGGAATTACTGTATGTTGATGATCTTAAGGAAAATCAAGAATGAATAAGACATTTGGCAAGGCAGATTTGCATAAACTATTTATTTTTAAATCTACTGCTTATTTTTCAGAATGCTATTTCTAAAATGGATGTTGCCCAGTTAAGGGACATATGTTTGTCTATGGCTGAGAAGCATCCCAGTCTTGTATTTGACCTGTTACAGCCTCCAGTGCCACAGCCAGGTGGATACCATCCACAGCCTGATGTGGCATCACCATCCTGGTGTGTGTGCCAGAAATGTAGAGAGATGCCAACAGACATTGAAAAACAGTGTTGTGGAAAGGAAAACTGCATTACATTATTACCAGTAAGTGAAATTTCAGCAAAATATTTTATTCAAAATAAACATTACTTTAAGGCATATTTGACAAGTTTTTTTTCAAATTAAGTGAGACAGACTAAATACAATTTGCTGAGTTGACTTAAACCACTTGTGACTTGAACATACTCGTTTTCAGTGGTGTACATATGCTTACATACAGTTGCAAACCTTATCATCACATCTACCAGTTAAGTAATGTAATGTTCTTGTATTTTACAGGACTTCTCTGTTCTCAACTTAGATGAGGGGGTATTGAACCTTGCAAGACTTTACAGAAGGGATGTTCTGGCTCTAGACGATGAAGAAAACAACACAAAAGCTAACAGATATCAAGCGTATAGACAATTTACGCTGTGGGTCCACGGTCATCTAGGGGCTGGCAACAGGAGAGTAATCCCATCCTGCTCTGTGTGGGCAATTAGAGACAAATTTCCAGATGCCTATGGACATTATAGGGGGTTTATTCCTAACAGGATTGGCTAGCTAGAACTCCGTCAATTAGTAGTAATCATTTAGCACAAGCTAGTTAGAACTCTTGTCAATTAATAGTAATTATTTAGCACAAGCTAGTTAGAACTCCCTCAATTCTTAGTTATTATTTAGCACAGTTTTTTTTAAAGTTTTTAATGTGATAGACCCACACATCTCATAAACATATTGTGTGTTATGTTTGTTCAGTCACAACCAAATCACCTCTTCAGATTCACTATTTTAACTGCTGAAAGGTTCTCCTCTGAATGATGTGAGGCGGTGGTAAGCTAAGAATAAGGAAAACATACAGCTTGTGCTACACAATTACTGTTATATGATTCCAGTGTCAAACTTATGAACTTTGCTCAAGATCTCGTGTTTGTGTCATTTGCACAAGTTTTTTTAAAAGTATTTAAATGTGGTAGACCCATGTACACATCTGATAAACCTATTGTTTGTTATGTCTGTTTAGTCACAACCAAATCACCTCCTCAGATTCACTATTTTAACTGCTGAAAGGTTCTCCTCTGAATGATGCAAGGTGGTGGTGGTAAGCTAAGAATAAGGAAAACATACAGCTTGTGCTACACAATTACTGTTATATGATTCCAGTGCCAAACTTATGAACATTTTGCTCAAGATCTCCTTGTGTTTGTGTCATTTGTTCTCAGTTGAAAAAGGTCTTAGAACCTTTTACTCATTGACAGTAAATCTGGACTTCTTCTCCAGCACCAGCTGCTGAGTTGGAGGAGGCTGAATGGGTGCAAGGACTTTGGAAATGCGCCTGGGGTCATTTTCTTCTAAAACTGTCTTCTGCATTCCAATGGGATCCTGAATCCTCATTTTGACAGCGTCAGAATGCAGAGCCTTGATGTATCCATACTGTTTCCTGGACTTGACTGGGTGCACTGTCCAGCGTCCACTTTTTTTATTGTACACTCTGTGGTACCTTGAAAGAAATATGAACTCCAATAAATGTGTCAAGATTGTAAATAAAACTGCATTCATTTTTTTCTAGATTTGCATAAAAAATCAAGTCTTTTTAATGAAATATTGCCTTGAGATGTCTACAGCAAATCAATTTTCTTACCTTACTTCTCCATTTCTATTCACCTCCACTGGCCTATCCAAATTTAAGTTATGGTCCAGTGCAGCCAACCTGTTGCGTGCCCTGTACACGGGTGGTGTGTAAGCAAAGCGCTTGGCACAATACATTAGTAGATGTTGGTGGAAACCCTCCAACTCTGCTGTACTCCTAAAAGGGAAGCAAAGATAATTTATAGTCTACCATTAACTGAAGCTGTAATACATATGTAAAATATATAACGGGTGCATTATAGTGCTTATGACATTTGATATCCTTTGACTCAAACCAATTTTACAAAAATTATCATAAGCTTCTACTTTCCCGTGCCCTATGTGGATTGCTTACCTAAAATTGAGATAATACCCAACATTCTTCAGAAGCCTTTTATCTAGGACAACTGAAGCCAAGTCTTTCAACACATGGGCATGTTCTGAAGGGGAAAGCCACTCCTTGTCCCTTACTTCGTCTTCTGTAAGTGGCTCATGGAGGCAATGGTTCACTCCTCCGTAAGACAAAATCCACTCGTGTTGGTTTGTGATGTGGTTAAGCACACTTCTCCAGATACTCTATAACAAGCAATTTAAACTTACAATTACTCAGTGAACACAATAGAAAAACAATGCATTGATATTACAAAAATTTAAGATTTAAAATAACCTGATTCTTTAGTTTTGGCAGTCATAGGCAGAACACCAGATTCATGGGGATTTAGGGCAACAGACATGCACAGAGATTATATTTTATAACATACACTTACAAGCGCGTCTTAAAAACTACATTGCAACATACAAATGTTAGAATAAAACCTTTTTGAAAAGAAAAAAAATGATTTCGCTTCAATGCAACTTCCATCTGAATAATTGATCTCAAAACATCAATATAATTTACTAATGGGAAAATGACATGAGCAAAACTGACATGAAAGTAACCTAACATTACTCAGCACAAATGATGGATAGCTTTCAGCCTTTTTGCAAGAAAACCAGAAATGGTTAACAATATCCCTACACCACTTCAGGAGAACACCATTACCCTTCTTCTGAGCGACCTATTACAAGAAACACAAATGCATGGGTGCACCTTATTAGGTATAGGCATTTACATTACTTTCGATTATAATTGAGCAAGAAGAGAGGGATAATTTCTTGGATAGTTATTCATAAATATAACATTACTCAATTTACATGTTGACCATGTTAGAAATCCAACACAGGTGCGTGTACTTTTGACATACCTTGACCAGTTTTTTTCCCAGATTCTTTGCCACATGCCAAATATCATGTGAGTGTTTAATGCCGGGATATTCACTTTCTGAAAATAAAATTGAACAATGTCAAAATAAAGTCATGTAACCAAATGTGTAAGAGGACAAAAAAAATACTACCCTTCGCATGAATAATTTAATACTAAATTTTGTGAACGCAGAATATATACAGATCAAAATTTCAGTGACAAGTGTTAGTGAAAAAGTGCTTACTCATTACTGCACCTATCCCAATATGGGCATCAGTAACAGCCTCTACAATCTTTATTTCTTTGGCTTGTAACTCTCTCATGGCGGCAATAAACCCAGCCTTTTCCATGTTTGCTGATTTACGGTCCGTCATTCTTTTATCTAACGTATGGACCGTGAGAATTTTTTTTGTGTCATTGTCCATAAGTGTGTACGTGCAGTATTGAGCACTGTGACCTGGCGTATCGTTTCTGCCATCACCTACAAAACAAGATTATAACGCATATGCAGATAACACAATTCAATAAAAAATCATAAATTAAAACATTCATTTCATTGCCACTTAGATCGTTATAGTATTCAATAATATATTTAATAAAAATTGTTTCATTTGCACAAAAACATTCTTTTTATTATGATTCATAATTTCTATAAGTGTATACTAAAATAAACTTTAGTCTTTGCTGATTTATGATTATATGAGAAATGCAATGCCTGAACTCATCTAAAAGACTAACAATCATTATACAGCCAATGTTATCAGAACATTTGTTTTTGCTACCATGCATATAAAATCTGTACCTACCTAAAACAACTACATCTTTTTCTTTCATTTCATTCAACACCTGTTTCTGGTGTTCCTCCCAGTGCTTGTCAATAGTTGGGATGATGTATGTTCTGCTGATCTTCATGAATTGATCAGCAGACGTGAATCTAACATTCAGCATGTCAGCCCACATAGACATCTTGCTAAAATTGTTGCCGGAGGTCAGTATGGCTGCCGACATTAAAAAATCTCCGCTGTGAAGTCTGCGGTTGAGATGCGGCTGTGTGCACCACTGACCACTTAAGTGCCCAGAGTCACATACCTATAAATAAATTACACTTTCATTTCTGCTGGTCCATAATAACAAAATAATGTGCACAATGGTTGCTCCAACTTCCATAGAAATAGACGTACTAGAGTGGTTAATGTGTAGAGAATCATTATGCAGGGCTAAAGAACTTAAATTTTGCTGATATATTTTCATAGCAGCCTACAAGGAACATTCCTACATGAACAACAGTCATAAAATGCACATGTTAAAAACAGGGTGACTTTCAAATTTATGGTAAATACATACCCACTTGAGGTATAAGGCTGAACCAACGTAAGATTCCTTTATCTCTGTGGGTTTCTTACAAGATGCACAATTTGGAATGTATATTCTAGCCAGTTGCATCAACTGTTCCACGAAGACAAAACATTTTGTTGCATTGACTATATCTTCACAGTCCTCGTCACTTTCAATACGCCTGATTCCTGGTGGAGATGGTGCAGTGTCCTCTTCATTCTCTATAATTCCATCACCTCCTGGGATCTCAAACCCAAAATCCATCTCCTCAAAGGATACATCAGGTGCTATCTGGACTACGCCATCAGGTCTGATTGTGTAAATGTTATAAATCATTATATTAAACAATGTACTTACATCTTTTTACTAAAATGAGAATGAATGACATTAGTCAAGCATCTTTAATGATAATACTAACATTCAATTTTTATATACACACTTTCATGGTAATTGAGGAGATGCTTGGTGAATTGCACAAATTTACAAAGAAATAAGAATAAAAAAGTGGGACATTTTTCCTGTAAACATTTAGTGCAATACCTGAGCCCATTAGGCAATTGCATGACATAAATCTTTCGAACTGTATTTCTATCATTTATTTGGCATTGTAATCTTTTACTTGAAAAATACATAAAAAATACTTACAATACAGCATAAATGTCAATAGCTGGGTCGTAATCTGGGTCCTCCTCTTCATCATCACCACTAACTTCAATTTCAGGATTCTCCACATGAATGTCTATTGACAAACTGCAATTATAAGGTGTTGCAATTAGCAAAAATGAGACAAATCATCATTCAGTATATGTCACTATCAATCAACACAAATTAATGATTTCTAATGTGTAAATATTGTAGGATTCTACACCTCTCTCTTCACAAGATTAAAAAAAAACTCACTTGAAGGGATCACAGAAGGAATCAGACAGCTCAGTAGGTTTATGTGCACGGATGCCAGAGGCTTGAGCTTTTCCTTCACTTTTCCTGTAATGGATTTTTAAACATCATATGAAACAGCAATGAAATAAGCACCTATATCCAAAATTACAAATTATCTAGGATTAACCAATGAGACAAAGCAGGAATTATATGGTCGTTCTAATATTTAGCTATATAAGTGAAAAAAAGACCAATTAATATTGGCAGAAAGGGGGTTTGTCTGGATTCACGGAAGGAAACACATTTAAAGTGTAGTTTAAAAAGCTCTGATTATTTTCTTTGATAACAGGAAGACTTCATTTGATGTAAACCTACTCTTTATCTGATCCAGCTTCTTTTGAAAGGTGCTCCAATCTTGACACCATCATTCTAAAAAAAAATTAGGAAAATGAAACTTGAATGTATTAAAGAAAAAAAATCAGATGAACAACATTGGATGGACAACATTGATTGAGTTATAACAATAATTATGAGGGCCAGACATAATTTTGAAATTAGAATATTTTATAAGGATAAACTTACGGCTCTGATTCACAAGATGATATTTCTGAGGCTGACGGTGTTTTCTCCACCATGTGTTTGCCTTTCATCTTCATGTCTGGTGTAGATGTTTTGGCCCAGGTTGATGGTACAGCTGTGGCGACTGGACCCAAAAGCATCTGCTTCTCCTGTGAGAAACCAGATGTAGATGGTACAGCAGGATCCTCAGATACTGCAGCTTGAGAGAGGTCATACCTAAAACAATATATA